CACACACCCGCGGTGAACAAGGGGGGGGGGGGGCAGGTTAGAGATGCCAAAGCGCCCCGGCTTGCACGCTGCCAAGCCGCTCGGGATGCATGAGCACATGTGAACTGCAGCCTGCTGAGGGATGGAAGTTGCTGGATTTCTTTATTCGCACCTTTCCTACCCGAGGGAATTCCGTTAGCTATTGAAAACCTGCCCGTTACTGGAGGGCTTGGGCTCTGTTGCGTTTGAATTGAGGAGCTTTCGGCTTTGGGCGGTTTTAACTTTGTTAAGACTTGCAGCAAATCAAACCACGGGCATTTTTTGCTTTTCTCTATGTGCTTCAGAAGGTTGAAAAACAGACAATTATTATTTTTTTCAGTGTGGTTGAAACTCTATTATTGAAAGCACATTCTTTCTGCTTTGTAAAAAATTATTTCATGTGCCGTTAGGTTAAACGTAATTGTTTCAGTATAAGAATTAAAGTGGATTTTAATCGAGCCGCTAGAAATGCCACATGACTGCCAAGCTCTTTTGCTTCAAGTAACAGCTTGGTCTGCATGAAGAAAAACTTATCAAGAAAATAAAACCCAACCAACCAGGCAGATGGGCAAGGGAGCAGCATCAATCCACACAGGGCCTGGTTCGACAGCTGAAGGTTCTCTGGGGATTTCTCCTATAAACCAAAATAATTTCATTTGCTGCTAAAGTGCAGCAGCAGCCCCTGTTTGTGGAAAGCTTCCTGCTCCAGCCCTTCCTCAGCGGGTTTGCAGCATTTGCATGCTTCCATGGCTGCAGAAGAAAGCGCTTGGCTGTGGGAGCGCTGCTTACTGGGATCTGAAACTCCGTCACTGGCGGATAACAGTGACCTTATTCCAGGGCTGCTATGATGTTCGGGCAGTTCTGCGTTCAGAGCCCAGCAGTTTGCACAGGGATCTGTGTTGTGAGCGGGAAGTGCGTTTTATGGTGACGAATAACCAGATGAAGGGTTAACTTTGACTCCTCTTCCCTCCTCCTTTTGCCTCGGCTCCCAGGACAGGAGGGCTGCAGCACACTTCACAGCTCCATCCAGGACGTTCTGGATCATCGTGTCCATTGCCTCGTTTTTCGCAGTTGTTGGCATCAGCGTTGTGGGGGTTCTCAGCTTCTCCCCCAGCTCTGCCCAGGTAAGGGATCCTGATCCTAGCAGGAAACCTCCTCCTGCCCTGATTTGTGTTGGAAACACTTGCCCGGAGAGGAAGGGGCTGAGATCAGGGCTGGGTTTGGCCAGTTACCCCATCGCAGGCAGCCTGCAGGGAGGCGGGC